TTACTGGAACAGTACATATTAATGAAAAATATTTAGGTTAATTTTAAGTTTTAGGAATTAACTTTAAAAAGATATATTGGATTGAGATAAGCAAAAAGGGTATTAAAGTAGATCAGCCAGTGAATACAGATGTAGTTAACCTGTTCCTTGTAATATAAGGATTATACCCATAGACTCATACCAATTGCCACAGAGAAATGGCTGTATTTGTTTTTTAAAATGCTCAGAACATTAACATGATGCAAGATCATCATCATTTGCCAACAACCAAGACTGCCAAGAGGATTAGTAAACTGGTTTGAATATCATTTTCCCTTTATTTATTGGTTCTTGATTTTGAATGTTTAGAATAGTGATGTTAGAACTTCAGAAGGTTTAGATTTTTTTAAACTTTAGAAAATTCAACAGCAAAGCTGTATCTTTTAAAGGTCTGAGAGTTCTGTCTCATATTTTGGGAATCTACTAATCTGAAGCTGTCCCTTTCCTCCAAGATTCTAGTAATTCATGGACCAGCTGCTCCTTATCAGCCTCCTAAACACTGTAAAGTTTAGTGTGGTTAGAACTGTACCACAGTAAAAGAAAAAAAAATTTACTAAATTCTTCCTCTGCACTGTTAAGATCATTCATTAAGAAAATAGTCTGTTCCTAAAGTCCAGAGAAGGAAGCACATGGACACTTGGAAGTTTTGAAAGTGATTAGGCATATGTAGGTAGAACATGATTAAACTAAGACTATTCATATATGACTCTTTAAAATAGTTTTAGATTAGGTAATCTTGCAGTTGATTATTTTATAATGAACTCATTTGCATTAGTAGGCACGCACAAAATATCTGTTGAATGAGTGAATTTAGCTCATTAGTTGATTTTAAATACTCATCTTGGAAACTAAAAATTGTTAATAGATTATGTAAATAATAGAGTTTTTTCCAATAATTTTTTAGTTTTTGCTTGACGATTTCTGTTTATGCTTGTACTTGTCCAGCACGTTTTAAATTTTTGTTTGGTTTATGCTTCTATTTTGGTTTAAGAAAAAAGGTAAAGAAGCAAGAAGAGCAGATGATCTCTGGTCATGAGAACCATTCTAATCCAAACACATTTATTTCCAAGGAGCATAGGAAAACAGGTAAACACCCACTGCTGATTTAAAGTAGAAGATAATGATCAACACCAACAGTAGACATTGCATTTAATGGTGATTCATTAGAAACATTCTCTTCGAAACATGGCACAAGGAAAGAATATTATTATTGATAACTATTCCACATCTTATTTAGAGACGTTGCCGTCTCATAAGTAAGGCAATGAAAATGACTATAAATATTAAAAAGGAAAAGCCACAATCGTCATTATTATGAAAGAATTTATGATTATTTACTTAGAAAATCCAAGGAAAAATGTTATTAAAATGAAGGAATTAAAAAAGGTAATTGGGTACAGGGCAATATACCAAAGTCAGTAGCTTTCCCATTCATCAGAAATAGCCAGTTGAAAATGTAACAGAAATAAAATGCTCCATTCACAGTTCACAATTACACAGAAACTATAAAAGGTACCAAAAAATTCACCGAAGATATTTAAAACTTATATGAAGAAAACTGCAAAACTTTACCCAAAGACATAGTTGAAGACCTAAATAAATAGATCTCCATCTTCCCAGATGGGAAAAATCAAGTCCCCTAAGTTATACCAAAATTGAATGTCATCCCCAATAATATGCTAGTAGTATTATTTAAATAGAATTTGACACATTGATTTCTAAGTTCAGTTAGAAGAGAAAATTGAATATCAATCACCATGAATATTTTTAAAAGATTGATAATAAGATGAAATCTCACTTTGCATAGTATCAAAGCATAGCCACAAGCTATAGTAATTAAAACAGTGTGGCATCTGAATAGGAAGAGACAAGTAAGTCAGTAGAAATGAAGAGAGAATATAAAGCCAAGGAAAGGGAGCACCTGGGTTGCTCAGTTGATTAAGTGTCCAGCTCTTGATCTTGGCTCATGTCATGATCTCCTGGTGTGTGAGTTCAAGTTCTGCCTTGGGCTCTGGGCTAATAGCATGAAACCTGATTGGGTTTATGTCTCCCTCTCTCTCTGCCCCTTTCCTACTTGCTCTCTATCTCTCTTTCAAAATAAATAAATAAAAATACACTTAAAAAAAAAATAAAGGCCAACAAAAGCTTTGATTTTCTGTTCTGTTCTTCATCTCATTGCATTCTCCAGCCAGATGAACCCATTACTCCCAGTTGATGGTAACTAGACTCTTCTAGGATCATTCTGGTATACTGGGTTAACATGGGAAAATTGGTTTTTACTTTTTACCAGTTTATGTTACATTTGAGCAGTGCCAGTATCTATGACTACACTATCTCTTATCACACTAAGCTGAGAAGAGGCCGTCAGGGAAGCAACAAGTCTGCAGTAGTAGGAAGCCCTTTTAAGCGCCCAGGCTCTGGTTCTTTCTTTTTCTTTTTTTTATAATTTTTTTTTTAATGTTTTATTTGTTTCTAGGAGAGAGAGAGAGAGAGAGACAGCATGAGCAGGAGAGGGTCAGAGAGAGAAGGAGTCACAGACTCCGAAACAGCCTCCAGGCTCCGAGCTGGCAGTCAGCACAGAGCCGGATGCCGGGCTCGAACCCATGAACCGCGAGATCATGACCTAAGCGAAAGTCGGACACTTAACCGACTAAGCCACCCAGGCGCCCCTGGTTATTTCTTTTATACGTAAATCATATTCTTCCCTTTGAGGATATACATTTTTTTGTCTGAGACATAACCATTCACAAACTCCTTCCCAGCCCTTCTTTTAAGGTGGTGCTAAATAAACCTGAAGTCACCACCTAACGCCATTATCAGAATGATGGGTACCATTATTGCTAAGTCAGCAGGGAGTAGAATTCATACAGTGGAGTTTTTTGTTGTTGTTTCAAAAATGTATTTAAATTCCAATTAACGTATAGTGTAATATTAGTTTGATGAGTAGAATTTAGTGATTCATAACTTGCATATAACACCCGGTGCTCATCACAAGTGTCCTCCTTAATACCCATCACCCCAAAAACCCATCCTTCTGCCCACCTCCCCTACAGTAACCCTCAGTTTGTTCTTTGTAGTCAAGAGTCTGTTTTGAGGGCACCCGGATGGCTCAGTGGTCAAGTGCCCAACTCTCAATTTCACTCTCAACTAGCATTTTTTTCTGTCCATATAGATTATATATTTCTTAAAGGCAGAGACATTATATTCTATCTCTTACGTATGCCATTAAAAAGTAGGGAGTGAACTTTCTATTAGTTTTTATCTGACTACTTGTATACTGTTTTAAAAAGTCTTAGTCTTCAGAATAATGGGAAAAGATTAGTCATTTGCCTGGCTTTTTATTTAATAAAGTGTGACTTAGAAATACAAAATGTAGTCTCCTTGTTGAAAGTTCTTATGAATTGTTTTGATATGACTTCTCAATATCTTAGATATTTAAATAACTTTAATAGTTTCTACACAATCTGTATTATGACTTAATAGACATAGAAGAGACAATAAAGAGAGTAAGTTTGCCATATTAAATAAGAATTTTTTTAATGAAATGTGTAAAAATGCTTTTTGTATTTTTGATAATGTAAATTGTTGTTAACTCCACAGAGGCAGAATGAAAATATGTATGAAAAGGTTTTGATTTACCAACCAAATCCACTCCTAGAAATTTATCTCAACTCTTTGTAGATATATGTAAATATATATATTTTAGGCTGGTCGTTATAACATTGTTTTATAATAGTAAAATACTGTGAATCACCTAAATATGTGCTATGCTACTTTTACTATGAAATATTACCCAGCAACTAAAAAATGGTCTGTTAGACTATTTAGTTACATAGGAAAATAGCCTTGATTTATTAATAAGTTAAAAAATAACAGATTACTGAACAATATAGTGTAATCTCATTTTTTGCCAGAAAAGAAAAATATCTATATATCTATAAATACTTAAAATCCTGTTTTCTAACTTATATACAGTAACTATGCATGTATTTTGTAATCAGGAAAAAATTATTAAAAATAGATTTGCCATAATTCAGAAAGAAAATAAGTAACAGTGATAAAGATAAAATTATTTATCTATGAGGAATGATCTTGCAATTAAGGAAAACAAAAGAGGCTTCCTTTCCCCCCATATACACATACTGCTTCTAATTCTGTTCATCTTAACCTTAGGTAGAATTCAGAATGGTCATTGGTGGTAATTGTACTATAGGGATCTAGAGTTGGCAACTTCACTTCTAATCTAAGCACTGCCACGAAGCAGTTTCCTTCAGGGTAGCCCTAAATAGCTTTCAGGGTTTCACTTATTTTATTTTATTTTATTTTTTAAAATATTTCTTTAATGTTCATTTATTTTGAGAGAGAGGGAAAGTATGTGCATGAGAGCAGGAAAGGGGCAGAGAGAGGGGAGAGAGAGAATCCCAAGCAGGCTCCACACTGTCGGCCCAGAACACCACGTGGGGCTCAGTCTTACAAACTGAGATCATGACCTGAGCTAAAATCAAGAGCAGGATGCTCAACCTACTGAGCCACACACGTGCTCCTCACTTATTTATTTATTTTTTTAAGAAAATCAATAGACTATAGCAAATAGTCTTCTAAATAGATAAATAAGGCTACATAGAGAACACATAGTAGGCAAGAGTTAGTGTTCCTTCTAAAGAAACTGCTAGCTCAGAATTTTAATATTCTCTGAAAGTAAAACAAATAAATTACAGGTCCTTCAAAGTGGCCGTTCAGAATTTTCAAGCCCTTAATGACGTTTATTGTAGGATCTTTCAAACATTAATTCATTTAATTCATATGGGTAACTTATTTATAAAATGATTCATTTCTCCAGAATTCAGTATTATCACACTTTTTCATTTACTCTGTTGATTCACTTTCAACATTTTTGAAAGCATTTATCTTCTAAAAGAAGATGTTATTTCACATAGTCCAAATTTATCTGCTTTCTTTAGGTTGCTGTCAACAGAACAGACATTGAAGACTTAGACCTCTATGCTACATCTCGGGAAAGGAGATTTCGTTTGTTTGCCTCTATAGAATGTGAGGGACAGTTATTCATGACTCCGTATGATTTTATTTTGGCTGTTACAACAGATGAGCCCAAATGTAAGTATATTTCTTAAATTCTCTTAATAATTTTATAATATTTTTTTCTTAACTCTAGTTTGGAAAAGGGTAGAGCAGTATAGGTTTTTCAGAACAACTAACCAAATAATGTGGTATTTCAGAAGACATTATGTTGTGCAATCTTACTAGACTAATATTTCATATAAACTCCTGATAGCTCTTTTCTTTTCACAAACTTTCATTTATTTTCTTTCTCAGTTCATCAAACTTAAAAACACCTCACTCTTGATATTCTTTTTTATTTTAGTTTATTTATTTATTTTGAGAGAGAGAGAGAAAGAAAGAGAGAGAGAGCACTAGCACTGGAGGGGCGGGGAGGTGGGGAGAGAAGCCCAAGCAGGCTCCACACTGTCAACGCAGACTTGGGGCCCAAACTCAGGAACTGTGAGATCATGACCTGAGCCAAAGAGTTCTATGTTAACTGACTGAGCCATCGAGGTGCCCAATATAGTTGGTGTATATTCTCCCTCTTCAGTTCTTATGTCTAGCATAAACAGAGTAATTCAGAGGACTGGATTTGAAGCTAGACCTGGGTGAAGAACTCTACCTGTATCTCTTCTGTATTTGTCTTGCTCCTACAGTGTAAACAGAGACTAATTGTTACTCATCTTTCTATGTGTTAAGAGCAGTGGTTCTCAACCCCTTTGGCGTTATGTACATTCTTGCAAATCTCATCAGTGTCTGATTAATAGAAGACAGCTTATTCTCACCTACTTTTTTCATCTGGTACATTGCAATGTGTTGTTTTTCATGAAGTATATTAAGAAAATCTGCCTCACAGATAAGTAGGCAAAGGAAAGAATTTTAATAACCTTTTCAGATAATTGTAGATGTTCTTCTTGGTTACTCTGTCAACACTTGGCTAGTGGTAGTTTCTTAAAGTTTTGTTGCAGTGTGGAATTTGAAACTTTTGACATCTGTTATGTTAAAACCCATGGGTCTATATTTGTGCTTTGAATGGATTTTTTACCCTTATAATCTTATAACATCAAATGGAAGATACTGGTTCACTAAGTTATGCAGATCTTCCAAATGTTGACATATTTATTATACAATTTTTTTAAAAAATTGCATTGCTAGATATTATCATAACATTATCATAAAAATCGTTATGTATTGGAAAGCTCATGGTGGTGGATACAAGTTTTCCCAAATTCTAATTTTCACTTGAAAGCTCAAATGTTATGACTGGCAACAAATATTGTTGGTGGTTACCCTGAAGTGATAGCTGACTGTTCATTTGTAAGTCGATGCCTGCCAAGTACCGAAGTCTGAATAACCGTAATTTGTCAGCCGTCCTTTCAAGTAAAAACGTATTCCCTGAAAACAGGTTCAGTTCACAACTCACAGAATCACAGTGCTTGTTCTCAAGACAACCATGGTCCTTTGGAATACAGCAGAAATGCTTCATGCACATTCCCGTTTCATCTCACAGCGTAGTATCACATGCACGTAAAGACACCTATCAAAGGCCAGGTATTGGGGCACCTGGGTGGCTCAGTCGGTTAAGCAGCCAACTTTGGCTCAGGTCATGATCTCACGGTTTGTGGGTTTGAGCCCCGCATCGGGCTCTGTGCTGATGGCTAGCTCAGAGCCTGGAGCCTGTTTCAGATTCTCTGTCTCCCTCTCTCTCTGGCCCTCCTCTGCTCATGCTCTGTCTCTCTCTCTCAGGAGAAAAAAAAAAAAAAAGCCAGGTATTGCGCTAGGCACTGGAGATAAAATGGTGAGGGGAACAAAAAATAAATAAATAAATGCCCTCCACCCTCATGAAGCTTACAGTCTGGTGGAAGGAATCACTGCTGATCAGTGAAATAGACAAATCAACAGCAAAGGATGTCTGTGATCGGTGCCATGAAAGAAGAATACTTGAGGCTGTGAGAGTATATTTTTGAGAAGTAACCTAGTCAGGTGGCTCAGGGAAATCTTTCCTGGGCAAATAAATTTCAACGTGAAATATGAATGATGAGTAAGAGTTAACTAGGCAAATAGGTTGAGAGAAGAGAATTTCAGCAGAAGAAACAGCATGGATCCAGATGCCATGACAAGAGGGAATGTGATACGCGGAGGAGGGGAAACTGATCTGGGCGGCTATAGCACAAGGAGCAAGGAAGGATATGGTAAAACATGTGGTTGGGGGTGTGGGCTGGTGCCAAAGCTTTGAGCCTGGAAGCTTATATTAAACATTTCTGTTTTCATCCTAAAAGTAATAGAAAATATGGCAGTAGTTTAAGCTGCAGAAGAATTTAGTGTGTTGAAAAACAATTCAACTGACTACATTTTAAAGATCTTTTTGGCTTTATTTCAGTGATTCTTGAATCAGGCAGCATCCCATCTAGCAGACAGAAAGGAGCTCCAAGGAGCTATACGAAAGACATATAGGCAGAAAGGAGCTGGAATAAGGATGTCACACTAGGCAAAAATGTGGGTTGATTATTACAAGGTTACTCTCGTCTGTCAGGCAGATTACCTAACTAGTGCTGATTGACTGATTTAAGATTCCAGTTCTGGCAGAGCAGAAACTGTAATTAAGTTAAGTTTTGACTTGGTGACATGGGTCTTAGCCTAAGCAGCTCTGTTGGACCTGTTGCCTTGTTTTTATCAGGTACATACCATAATTAGACTGTGTTTTGAAAAGATTTTTCAGAGTGGAGATAGATTGGAGAGGGCCAGAGTGAGCACAAGCAGATCAGAGAGGAGACTCTTGTCCAGGCTTGGAAAGCTTCTAATAATGGTAGCAGTGGTGATGATGGACTAATGAGTACTAAAAATTTCTGGCTGGCTTAACCATATGGATGGCAGTAGGGACCAGGTTTGAAGGGAAAAATTATAACTTCAACTGTGGACATGATGGATTTAAGATGCCTTAGACATCTAAAGGAGGAGATATGGAAGATACACTTGGATCTGGCTTTTGATGATTCATTTTAGTTCCTTGAAAATCAGTGTACCAAACAATCAGTTGTTTGATAATCTACTTGAAACTGCCAAACAAATGCCTGAAGTTATATTAGAACAAATTATAGCCATTTTTTTCTTCAGAGACAGAGATATGACAAAACCTTAACATAAAATCCTCAAGTTCTAATACAGCATGGTAACCGTAGCTGATTAATAACCATATTGTATAATTATAAAAATTTCTAAGAAAGTAAATATTAAGCATCCTCAGCAGTAACCAAAAAAGCAACTATGTGAGGTGAAAAAAAATATGTAAAAGTTCAAAAAAATTATATCCTAAATAAGTTGGCAAATTGGCCACTTTGCACATTAGCTTTTAATCAATTAATTTTTGATACTCGAGAGTATTTCCATTGGAGATGAGGGGAGAGGGCTGGGTAGAGTATATATTTAGAGCTCATCTGTACGTGGTAATTAATGCAGTATGCATGGATGAGATTGCCTAGGAGGCAGTGTAGTATGAGAATATAGAGGACCAAGGATCAGTCCTTGAGGAGTTACTAGCCTTTACGTGGTGAAGGTACAAAGGTTTGGAAGATGAGCCTCAGAAGGACATGCAGGAGTGCCCAGAGACCTGGGAAGCAGGTCGTGAGTACGGAGGCATAGAGGCCCAGGAGCATGAACAGAATGGTCAAGTGAGATGTCAAGTCAGATGAGGACAGAAAAATGTCCACCAGATTTAGTTAATTTGATGGTTATTGATGACTTTTATAAAAAAAATTTTTAATGTTTTAATTTATTTCTGAGAGAGAGAGAGAGACAGCGTGAGCAGGGGAGGGTCAGAGAGAGAGGGAGACACAGAATCTAAAGCAGGGTCCAGGCTCTGAGCTGTCAGCACAGAGCCTGATGCAGAGCTTGAACCCACAAACCGTGAGATCATGACCTGAGCTGAAGTCGGATGCTTAACTGACTGAGCCACCCAGGAGCCCTGGTTATTGATAATTTTTAAAATGATGTTTCAGTGTAATGATTAAGGCAAAGACCAGATTCCAAGAGTAGAAGATGAAGAGATGAAGACAGGAAGTATAAAGGACTCTCTCAAGATGTTTGGCTGCGAAGTAGAAAGAAGGGAAATCTCATCGTTGAAGTAGAGACTCTATCATGTAACATTTTGCCGGGAGACTCTGAGAACAACTAGAGAGGAGCAAACAGCTGAGATCAAGAGAGTCGGCAGTGTATTCACAGTGGTCCACTTGGGGAGTGGCTAAGGTAGTAGCCAGAGAGAAGGCTATAAATTAAGTAGGACTTGTTTTGAGGAATTGGAAGGGTGTGGTAGGGATTATAACTATGTGTTTCTTTAACCACTGTTTCCTCCCTGCCTTCCAGAAATATTTGTTGAGAACTTACCATATTCCAGATACTACATTTTGCCTTGGAATTGGGTGTTTGATACTTCTTGTCTTCTTAAAATATTTAAAGCTTCATAAATGTAGAGACTGTACGTAGAAAAGACCCTTATACAAAAATATATATGTGTTCTATACTTTTTTGTTTGATTTCATACAATGTGGATTTTTAAATATTTATTATTAAGTTAGCATAGATTTGATAAAACTATTAATATATTTTTTTAAATATCAAATGGTATTTTTGCTTCAAATTCTATAGTTTTTGTCAAACATTCTTTTTAAGTTTATTTATTTTGAGAGAGAGCGAGCACACACAAGCGGGGGAGGAGCAGACAGAAAGAGGGAGACACAGAATCCGAAGCAGGCTTCAGGTTCTGAGCTGTCAGCACAGGACCTGACACGTGGATCGAACCCACAGACCCATGAGATCACGACCTGAGCCAAAGTCAGGTGCTTAACCAACTTACCCAGGTGCCCCTCAAACTGGAACTTTTAAAATATAGTTAAGAGCAGTCACTGAAGATCAAGATATTTGTAAACACGTTTTTTAAAGTGTTGGCTTATAAAAAGAAATATTTGCCTCAGAAGAGAAAATAGGTTTCACAGACTGAATCTTATTAAATCATATATAAAAATGTATATATATGGCATGTTGAGATTATACAGATTTATATTTAAATATTTATTAGACAGACTTGTATTAACATTTTTTCTTAATGTTTATTTTTGAGAGAGAGAGAGAGAGAGCCAGAGTGCCAGAGTGTGAGTGGGGATGGGCAGAGAGAGAGGGAGACACAGAATCTGAAACAGGCTCTAGGCTCTAAGCTGTCAGCAGAGTGTGACACAGGGCTTGGACTCACAGACCATGAGATCATTACCTGAGCCAAAGTCAGATGCTTAACCGACTGGGCCACCCAGGCGCCCCTAGACAGACTTGTTTTTAAACCTTAGCATTCACTTTCTAGCTTTGAAAATTTTGTTATTTAATCTTTTGTCTCATCATTTATAAAAATAATACCAACTTGATGAGGTTTTTGAGGATTGAGAGATATTGGTTGTGCTCAGCTAGTACCAAACACGCAGTAAACACTTAATGAATGTTGGTAGCTGTCTTTTCCATTGTCACCATCATTGTCATTGTTTGAATCCATAATCATAATTAAAAACAAAATATTTGATACAATTTTATGGTGACACCAACAGGAAAGACGTGGTATGCTGTGTGAACATTTGCTTAGTAGTTATAGCTCAGGTAAATGTTAATTGAGATATTGATTATAGCTTTGTGTTTGAAACCTAGAAAATTTCTTATTTTACCTTCCTAAATTGAACCTAAAGGGTAAATTCCCCTTCTGAAACTAAAGTAAGTAGTTACTTTCATATAGCTTCGAGTATTACTTTAATTTTAGTTTTAAACATATATTTAAAAATTTCAAATATACATAAAAGTATTAAGAATATAATGAACATCAATGTATAGCTGAAGAAATAAAATATATCCAGTAGAGTTGAAGTCCCTCTTCACCCACATTATATTTATATACGTAGTAACTTCATATGAAATAAGGAATTTAGAAAGTCAGAAAACCCTTTGAAGAACAGTCTTAATGGCTCTTTAGTCTTTATAAAAAAAAAAAGCAAATAATACTGAACATGGTGACATATCCGGCAGAACGGCTATGTCTTTTGTGATTAATTTACCCTGGAAATCTTAGAAACCCTACAGAACTCAAGAGCGTGTCACTTCCTGTTCTGATAAATAGCTTCTGAACATTGCACAAGAGCACGTGTGTGAACTTTTGTACCATTTATTTTTCTTCTGTTCTCATTGCCATATTTCAAAAACAACAGAATAATAAATATTATTTACAATGTTGTGTTCATTATGGAAAGGAGGATTTCTTTATGAAGTAAATGTATTATAATTAAGGCTAAATGCTGAATTCTTCTTTATAAGCTTGTGATTTTTATCTTTTGATTACATGTTTGTATAAACTATCTTAGGTAAAGATAAACTATCTTAGGTAAAGGATGTTGTTGCTACATAGAGAAGAAATCTATCTCCATAAAAATCAGCTTGTTAAATTTTAGAATATATTTCTATCCTTCCAATCTTAAAATGACTTATTACATTGCATAAAAAAGAGAAAGTTAATGGCAAAAACTGCCTATCTTACAATCTTGGCTTTGATATACTGTTTACAAGAACTGTGGTTAATTATAAAGAAATAGCCACATTGCCATGAGGAAAAATTATTGGTTGTCATTATTGTAATGTAGCTGAAATAATTAATATTTACCAGTTCCTAACGCAGCTGTGTTATAGGACTTAATCACATAGAAACCTGGAGAGAATTCTTAGGCAGGAATTCACAGTTTTCAAATCTGAGTAAAGGAAATAGCAACGTTGGCTGTGCATTTATTCCAATATTATAAGATTTATAGTGTTTTAGATCTCCAAGGATGTGAGGAGGAATCAGAAAAAGAAAGTGAGCCCAGGAATTTTATTGAACCTTAACGCTCTTATTCCAGAAGTGATTCTTTTTTTTTTTTTTTTAAAGTTTTATTTATTTTTGAGAGAGAAATAGAGACAGTGTGAACAGGGGAGTGTCAGAGAGAGGAGACACAGAATCCGAAACAGGCTCCAGGTGCTGAGCTAGCTGGCAGCACAGAGTCTGATGTGAGGCTCAAACCCACATACCGTGAGATCATGACCCGAGCCGAAGTCGGAAGCTTAACCGACTGAGCCACCCAGGTGCCCCCAGAAGTGATTCTTAAATACAAGGAAAAAATGGAAACCAGGATGAGGGTCTCCCTCTCACATTACCTATTCTCTCCTTCCTCTTTTTCTCATTGCCCTATCCTTCCACTCTACCCTAGAGAGACCTGGCATTTGAACTATACCCAGAGATACCAGCACAGCAGAGATCGTGGGTAGTACCTAAAACTTATAATTTATGTTAATATTTTTATTCTAATATGAATATTTAATAAATACCAGTATTTGTGTTTTAAGCCTAAAAGATGTTTAACATGGAGCAAGTTAACTTGATAAATCCAGAAACCCCCAAAGTAAGATATTGATTATGGAAAATGTTTCCTATTCTACTGACATTATTTATTATACCTATTTCATAGTACGTGAAACAAATACATGAATAAAACCATATCGTGGATCTACATCTTGAAGCTAAGAGAACATTGCCTGTTAAACATAAAAGTTTTGTGTTATGAGTGGTGGTTGTAGATTGGCTACTGAATTTGGATAGACATTGCATAAAGTATTTATTTTCTAATTCTTTTATATTTATTACAGTTGCTAAGACGTGGAAGTCACTTACCAAACAGGTAGGTTAAAGCTTTTGGTGTCATATGCATACATACTATGTTTATGTATACCCACTTAGGAAAATTGCTTGGCATTACCTACTAAAACTAAAGATACACATGGCCTGTACCTAGCAGTTCTACAACAGTGTACATACGTGTACCTAGTAACGTTAAGCTTGAATATGCCCTGTGATCCAGTAATTTTACACTAGTGTGTATACCTAGAGAAGCTTATACATGCAGAAGAGGTTCACAGGAATGCTCTTAGATTATTCATAATTTATCAGAAAGACTACAATATAACATCAAGAGTAGAAGTGACAAATCAGCTTTTATATATTCATACAGTGATTACATACCAAGTGAAAAGAAATCAATTATATCAGTGCTTAACCTAGATGAATCTTGGAAACATAATGACAAAGTAAGCAATTCACAAAAACATAACTTACAATTCCATTTATATAAGGTCTAAAACTAAGGGAAAAAAAAAACCCATATTGTTTAAGGATGCAGTCAGTGGTGTGAAAACCAAGGAATGATAAGTATTAAATTCAAGACATTATTAACCTCTGGGTAAGATGAAGGAAAATATCATCAGTAAGAGCTACAAAGAGACTTCTAAAGTACTGGTAATTTTATATTTTTTAGCAATTTCTAGTTTAAATTTTAATATATTCCTTTTGTACTTTTATTTATTTATTTTTTAAATATTTTTACTTATTTCTCGGAGAGAGAGAGACAGCGTGAGCAGGGGAGGGTCAGAGAGAGAGGCAGACACAGACTCTGAAATAGGCTCCAGGCTCTGAGCTGGCAGTCAGCACAGAGCCCGACGTGGGGCTCGAACCCACGAACCGCGAGATCATGACCCAAGCGAAAGTCGGACGCTTAACCGACTAAGCCACCCAGGTGCCCCTCCTTTTGTACTTTTAAATGCATGATAAACTTCGATATTAAAAAAAAATCAGTATTAGTATAGCATTCTAGGGAAGTTTCTTAACCAGTTAAAGAGAGCCCTCCCAAAGCCTGTAGCAAACCTAGTGCTTACATGTGAAGCTTTAGACATTCTCTTTAAAATTAGATATGATACAGGGACGCCAAAGTGGCTTAGTTGATTAAACATCTGACTTTGCCTCAGGTCATGATCTCATGGTCCATGAGTTCACCCCTGTGTCCGGCTCTGGGCCGACAGCTCAGAGCCTGAAGCCTGCTTCAGATTCTCTGTCCCTCCCCCACTTGTGCTCTCCTCTTTCAAAATTAAATAAACATCAAAATAATAATAATAAAATTAGGTAAGATACAAATATGTCTGCTATCACAACTACTACTCCCTGTTTTACTACAGGTCTAAGCTAATATAGTGTATTAGTTTGCTAGGGCTGCTGTAACAAATACCAAAGCTTGGGTGGCTTAACCAACAGAAACTTATTTTCTCGCATTTCTGGAGGCTGGAAGTTCAAGATCAAGGTGTTGGCAGGGTCGGTTTCTTTGGAGGCCTCTCTCCTTGGCCTGTACATGGCTGTCTTCTGTCATCTTCACATGTTTATTGTTCTGTGCATGTCTGTATTCTGATGTCTTTTAATAAGGACACCAAGTCATATTGGATTAGGACCCACCATAATGACCTCATTTAATAATCTTAATTACCTTTTTAAAGGCTGTTTATAAATACATTCACATTCTGGTGTACTGAGAATTACAACTTCAGATGTAAATTTGAAGTGGACATAATTCAGGCTATCACATGTAATTTGACAAGAAAAAAGAAAGAAGTTCTAAGGATTAGAACAGTAGCAAGCCATATGATTGAGAGAAAAATGTAAAAATACATAGATTTCAAATGTATTCAAATTTAGTAAAAGTTTAGGAAAGTTGCTGCTGAATATAGGATCAGTTAACCAGAGTTAATAAAATGTTTCTGCACCAGCAATAGCAGTTAGAAACTGTTCTCTCAAATAAGATACTTTTCACAATAGCAACAAAAACTATTACTTCCTGTACCTAACAGATGATGTAGAAGACATTATTATATTTTTTTAAAGACATGAATAAACAGAAATAGATCATGTTCTTGGGTGATTCATTTGGAAGAGAAAGGATCCAGAATTTTCAGAACAATTCTGATAAGGAAGGAAGGGAAACAAACAAACATTAGGATGAGAATGATAAGGCCTGTCATATTAAGATTAATAACAGAACTATAATTAAAATAGTATTGTATTACTGCAAGAATTTTTTAATTAGATGAAAATAATAGGATATATAGAGTTCATAAACAGACCCAGGCAAGAAGATATGTGGGAAGATCTGTAAATCACTGGAGAAAGGATTGACCTTTAGATACTGGAATAATAGTCTTTCCAACATGGAGACAAATAAATTTAAATATCAAACTGGCCACCATATACAAAAGCAAATTTCAGATGGATTAAGTTCTTATTTTTGACAAACAAAAATTCTGAAATATTAGAAGTAAAATAAGGGAAACAAGAAGATTCATTAGATAAGACACATAAAGTAAAGCTCAAAGGAAATTCTGGCAAGTTTTATTAAATTAAGTATCAAAAACTTTGGCATACCAAGGGTGTCAACGATGCTAAAAGATGTATGATAGATTGGAGAATATGCTTGCAATATATTAACAGAAAACATTGGTGTCTTGTACTCATATAGAACTCCTGTAAATCAATAGAAAAAAGATAACCACTCAATAAGAAAAAATGAGTAAACATAGAGTGGTCAATAAATATATGTAAAGGACCTCAGTCTCACTGCTAATCAGGAATATGCAAATTAAACCAATAATATGATACTATTTCACACCTATCAGATTATCAGCTTCCAGAAATCTTACAATACCAGTAATTAGCATGGATAAGAAGAAAGAACCAATTGAGAATGTAAATTTGTATATTCACTTTCGAGAGAAATTTGTCAATATCTAATAAAGTTGAAAATACATAGTCAAAACCTCTACTTCCAGAGATGTATAATGGAAAAATAGTTACACCAGCAGTCCTGTACATGTTTTCTGTTTTCTTCTTTCTACAGCATTGATTGTAATAGCCCCCCAAAACAAAACAAAATATGTTGAGACATATATGACATATATATATATATATATATATATGTTGAGAAATGAATAAAAGAATTGTAATCTAGACATATCAAGGACAAATTCAGTGTATAATACAGAAATATGGTGAATAAATACATTAGAGCTATAGGTATCAACATGAGCCAGAATCAGGAGTCAGTTGCTTAACTGACTGAGCCACACAGGCACCCCTGCAATATAAGTCTGATGCTAACCACCCAGAATTAGTGTCAGACTCCATAGACTTAAGGACACAGTCCCCAACAAGACTGCCCTCATTTCAGATGCCAGATGCAAGTTCAAGGGTCCTGAGGCCACCCATGCTTCTGACCAACTGGCTACAAATCCAAGAGGTTCCTATAATTATCCTCAAGTTCAATAATTTCCTAGACTGACACATAACTCAGAAACATTCTATATTTATTAACAGTTTATTTTAAGGGACACAAGTCAGGACTAGCCATATGAAGAGACTTCTTGGACAGGTATAGGAGGATCCCAAACACAGACCTTCCATGCCCTGTCTCCATAGAAAGGTGTGTCTTCTCATACATCAGTGTGTTCACCAACCTGAAATCTCCACTGAGCTTGGGTGTTGAGTTTTTATTGAGGGTTCATTATCTAGGTATAATTGATTGATTCATTGGCTAAATGATTGAACTCTATCTCTATAGTCCCTTTCCCTAACCCACCTGAGAGGTAGGGAGAGCACAGAGCCCCAACCCTCTAATCCCTGGGTTATCCCATAATTTAGGTAGGACTCAAGGATATAGAGTCTCCCAGGAACCAGGGGCGAAGGCCGACCAACTTATTATTTAACACCACTATGTATAAGAGACCACGATAGGCACTGAATGGGGAGAGACGTTCCCAATCTGAGTGGAAGTATAGATTTTAATCCATTTTAAAACTTCTTAAAGTTAACAGAAGACAAGATCAGTGTTTTAATTGGATAATCTAGACCAGAAGAATCTGAATTATTACTAAAGTTAACTGCTTAGTCAGTAAAGATCTGGCCCATCATTTAGAAGTTGTGTGACCTTGGGTGAGTTTCTTATTCTCTTTAAGTCTCAGTAGAATATGCATAGTGAGGTTCATTTTTTAAAATTAAATGAGAGATTGGATTAGCCCGTTGTCAGGCACATAGAGGGCACTCAGTAAAAGGTAGCTATGATTTTTTTTTATTGTAAACTCAAGTGGAATTTAAACTAGAAGAGATGAAATTGAATACATGGAAATAGTTCAAATGGAGAAAGAGAAGTTAATATTTATATAACAGATAGGGTATACATAAAGTGTATATCATATATGCAAAATGTTCTCTTTAATCTCTTTTTAACAAAAATATTCATGAGTTTACTGTTGTTTAAGCAGTAAATATCCGGCTTCTCATTGTTATTCACATCAGAATTATTACAAGTATGCTGTTACTGCCGTATTCAGACACTTCTGATTCTCTGGCATCTGCTACTTGCAATGCAGAGATAACACTATGAAGGAAATGAAAGTAGGGTTCACAGATGGACTTCAGGGAATCCATAAATCCCCTAAAAATCTCTCTCCTGCAGTTGGCATTGCAAGGATTCCTTATTTGCCTGCTAACTCAACTTTGTAATGAAAAAAAAAAAGTTTATAATGTCACAGAATATTTTTAGATACAACCACATCAGGAAGGATTTGCCTGAACTGTTTCTCAAACTGGAATGTGTAAAAAAAAAAAAAAAACATTCACTTGGATTTCTCGTTAAAAATACAGATTCTGGTTCACTAGGTTTGGGAACTGAGATGTGCTTTTCTTGCAAGCTCCTAGGTTATGCCTGGGCTATGGGGTACCATACATTGAGTAGCAAGAATCAGGTCTGGAAATAGAAGTGGTTTCTTGTGTCTTTCAGTGTGTTACTTAGCAAGCTACCTTTTTTATTTCACGTTATTTCAGTTTATCTCACCAAATCCTTTAATAATTTTTCCAGATAATTAACCAAAATATAATTTTCATTTAATTATTTTTAACTGAGTATGCACAGTAAATTCAAAATCCTTTTAGTATCTGAGCAATGATTCAAATGTTTAAAATTTTCAAAATTAACCCACTGTGATAATTTGATTTTTAAAAGGCTGACTAAGCAATTGAAGTCTGTGGGTTTTTTTACTGAAAGTAAACTGTTTTTTAACTTAAAGTTAAAATTAGAAAAAAAAAAAATTGAAACCGTGGCCACCACAACTTGGTACAAGTCCTGCTTCATCTTCTGTCAACATTCATTAAGTCACTACTAAAATATTCTTCATTCTTTCCCAATATGATCCTCTCTCCACTTACTTCTTCCAGCTCCTTAAATCCAAGAGGGCCCAGAGAAGAGACAAAATGTGACCCAGTTCATCATCTCTGACCTTGATAAGGAAATCCACCCTAATTACCACTTATGAAACTCAGTGTTTTATCTTAAATTGATTATTTTACATGTATTCCTCCAATTGCTAAACTTACCCTAAATTTTTGGTAGCTCTAATTGAATTTAATGTAGCTTCTTTATTATTTATTTTATGTGTAGACTGTGGGCAAATATTAGGTGTTGTGGCTGAATGACCACGGGTATAGAATAGAATAAATTCAACCGTGTCTGAGGTCCTTTAAGTGAAGAAATTTTTTTGCATAGGCATTTAAATACTTATCTATTTTATAAGTAAGTGGCTTACGTGTTAATCAGTATTATGATACATTATGTCATAGGAATTAAATCAAATGCTCTCAGAAACACCACCAGTTTGGAAAGGATCATCAAAGCTTTTTCGCAGTCTTAAAGAAAGAGGTAAGTCAGTTTTAGTTCTTATGCATTTTTAAATGGAGACTGTGTTATTTATACTGTTTGTATATATTTTTTCCTTTTAAAGTAATTTTATACTAACATGTGAGTTTTTGTGTGTATGCATAGAGAAAAATACTAAAATATTAATAATGATTGTTTCTGGGTAGTGAGATTAAAGGTGGTTCTTATTTTTATATATATAGTTTGTGTCTTTCAAATTTTTGCAACAAAGGGAACTTTCATTGTTACAAAAATTATTTTTTAAATGTATTAAGTGTAGTTACAGTTACTTACAGAAATGCTTTTTTAAAAATACTGATCTCCAAGTACTTCCATTTTACTTTCAGGGGAGTATAGATATTTAAAAATGTAATCAGTATGAAAAACTTACTGGATATCTTTTGGCCACCCAGTTTGAACATGTTTCTTTTAAAAACAACACTCATTGTAAAATCCATCTGTTTTAACCTGTATTAGCTATATCTAATAGCTAGTATTCATAGAATCATACACTTCCTTGCAGTCAAATTGTACAGCTTTTATTGCAGTTTTCTTTTACACTGTACTTTTTGTACATATTTATAGAGAAGACTGATGAATAAAATCTCTTTAATCTTAAAAAGGAACTTTTCTTATAAATATACTTTTTTACATTCTCAAGTATAAGAATATATAAAATAAAAATGTTAAAGAAAGTATATGAATAGTTACCTTTTTCATTTTCATCAATAGATATTCGTTTGAAAATAATTATATATACTCTAGCATGAAGACAAATATTTTAAAGACGTAGTTATAGTCTATTTATTTGAGTGATTCACATGGACTCTGAAAGGGGTTCACACTTTACCTTTTATTATAAGATTTTTCATAACTAGGGTTTTGAAATCTTTGCAAAATCAGGGCCATGGTATCTTTAGAACTCTTAGAATTTTTTTCCTAGAAGTTGTCTTAAAGATTGTCATTCAAATCTTAGGGTGGGATGATAGGATCAGGAAAATTCAAAGCTCAGAAAGAGAAGTTAGCAAATTTAAAAATACTTACTTAATACCTCTCATGGGAAAATACAAATTGGATCAAGTATAATTTAAGAAAAATAGATGCATGGAAGAAGGAAATTCTTTGTAGTTAAGGAGAGCGTTAAATCTGGAAACCCTGGGTGTAGACCTGTTCTAATCTTCTGTATGTTGTATGCATATCTGCATGTTTTTCGGGAGTGATGAGCTATTCAGTGCTATCCCACAGAAGGATCTGTGTAGTGATGAAAGTGCAGTCTGTGTTGTCTCCCGTAGTAGCCTTTAGCCAATGTGGCTTTTAAGGATCTGAAAATGTGGCTACTGTAACTGAGGGAGTAAATATTTTATTGCATTTAATTTTAACTGCTTTAAGTAGCCACATCTGGCCAATGGCTACCCTGTAGGACAGTGCAGAGCTATGTCACTGTGATTGGATTATTGAAGCAATCCTTATACCCAGAAAGTTTTAGAACCATTAGGTTAGGTGAAGTAGAATGTTACAGCCAGCCTTGTTTTTTTTATAAATAGGTTTAAGTGGTGAAGGAATTTTAAAGCCAAATCTTTAGAGCTTAAAGATTACTTTACAAGTGAATTATATCTACTTAAAATATTGCCCAGCAAGAAAATGCAGTTTTACAAAAAATTAACTGAAATGCAACATTGATGAAAACATATTATCCAAACTTAGTCATAACAGCTGTCTTACAAAAAAATTAATTGAAATGCAACAGGTATGAAAACATATTATCTAGACTTAGTCATAATAGCCAACTGTAGTGTATTGTGATAAAGGAACTAAACCCTGTAATGTTTTTTAAGGAACTTCCTTTAGAACTTTTTTGTATTGAATTTTCAAAAGAAACCTAGTTGGCATCTTTTTCACCCTCCTTTTTTAAAGATCACAGCATTTTTATATGCTTAGGAAATGTATTTATTTTATTTTTTGATCTTGGGTGGCCTTAAAATAAATTGAAGGGGCAGTATGGTAGTTTTCCATTTTTGTAATTGGAAAGCCTTAAGAATCTACAGGTCATGTTTAGCAGTATTTTCTCTTTCCCTTGATCATTTTTATTAAATTATATCATGAGCTTCACTTTGTTCCCCTTGCCTGTGGATTACACCACCTCAGAAACCATTTGGTTCTACAGATGGGTATCTGCCATGATAATTGTGATCAGTGCTCTCACTGTTAAGTACTCCTCCTTCCCTGAGGGAAATCTTGAGCTAATTATCAAATAAAAGATGTGTAGTAGTTATTAAACTTCTTTATGCCAACCAGCATTTCCTCTGTATTTCACCAGGTCAATCAGAAGAACAACAGTCAGTGAGATGAGATTGTAAAGACGTAGAGCTTCTTTCTCCATCCCATTTCCCTTTCTTTCTCTCTTTCTTCCTTTCTCCCTCTCTCTCTTTCTCTCCTTCTTTCTGTCTTTCTTTTTTCTTTCTCTTTCTTTCTTCTTTATTTTTTTTTGAGGGATCCCTATAGAATCTAGGTATTGTACCTTTATATACATTGACCATTCCAGAATCTTTCTCCCATAACATTCATGGCAGCCAACCAGAACTATCTGCCTATAGGTCACAATATTGTAGTATAAACAAAAGAAGGGAATGCTTTCACAGGGCTTCTAGCTAGTTCCCTTCAAGTCTTCTGACAAACTGCCTGACAGTGACTCCTCTTCTCTTTGTTCTGTTACAAAGAGGGTAGCCTCAAAGAGCATCAGGTAAAATGGAGTTTCAGGGTTCACGATCTGATTATTTAAGGATTTTTGTATACCCTTTTACCAAACTTTAGGACTATCTGATATCTGGAGAAGTGTTAATTGACTTATTCCTGATTTTAATTTTCTCAGGATCCTCTTGGAAACTCAGTGAAGCATGAATTCTAGTTTGGGGTGCTATGTCCAAAAGTAAGAATTTGAGTAACAGAATGTATATTTTTATTTATGCCAAACAAACACCTTTTAAGCTTTGTAATTCTGGGATTATACAGAACTCAGGATGCAGTATTCAGAAAGTATAAGCCATTTAATTGAAACAATTTCTTAGAGTACATTTAATAGAAGCATTAAGTTTGTAAAGAGTAAGAAATGATAACTTGAAAGCAGACAAGTTATAAATATAGCTTCATTTTTTAATGCAATACAGAAATCAGATTTGTTAATAAATAAGAATATCTAAATGTTTTTTCCAAGAGTTACTAAAAAGTAATTGAGCACTTTACAGTTTAACCATTTTCAGCCTTTTTATTTTATGCTAGATTCATCCATTGAAAATCAGCAGCAAGTTTACAGGCAGCTATACGTAAACATTATAATTTTGCTTTCTTTGTCAGTATATCTAGGAGTATCAATGGGAATTTTGCATGGGTTCTACAGAGGCATTGTGAATCAAATTAAAATCAGTTTGGGGTTTTTTTTGCCGTGATTTTATAATAATAGTTTAGTCGTGCTTAAAATAAAACTTAGCATGTTCTTTAAAGTGGTAAGTTCCTTATTAATATTACATAATGTAATAATATTCTACTTGATATATATAAAGTAATATTTTACATATAGCATTACTAATACTATTTTTCTTCTAGGTGTGATTTCTTACACAGAATATCTTTTTCTTTTATGTATTTTAACAAGTAAGTGCCTCATTAAGTCTATTTTTCGATCTATTTTTCTTTTTTAATCAAAATCTTGGAAAACAAATCTTGGATTCTCTTACTACTGAAAATCACTTTAGGTTTATCCATGGTTATTTTGCAAAAATCAGCAAATACTAAGCATAGCATTATCAAGAGGCAAAAACGTAAATATTTTTATGGCTTATGGAATAGTAACAAAATGCTCATAAATTATAAATTTTATATCATATATTAATCCTTGTGGTTTAATCTACATGGACGCCTAAAGATCAAGTCATATAGCAGTTTGTAAATTTTCTGCCGCGCTCATGGAAATCACATTTTTTTTATAGTTTTTTTTAATGTTTATTTATTTTTGAGAAACAGAGAGATAGCATGAGCAGAGATGGGGCAGAGAGAGAGGGAGACACAGAATGGGAAGCAGGCTTCAGGCTCTGAGCTGTCAGCACAGAGCCCAATGCAGAGCTCGAACCCACAAACTGCGAGATCATGACCTGAGCCAAAGTAGGACGCCCAACCAACTGAGCCACCCAGTCGCCCTGGAAATCACATATTTTTAAAGACCAGTGTGAAAGAATGAGTCTTTTAACTAGTGAGTTACCCATGTCTGAACACCCATCATCATTCTGAAAAGCTTTGTTATTCTCTTCCTCTCATCTGCAGCAGTTTTTATGAAATACGTGGAGGGCTTACTAATGTTTTTAGTTAAATTTCATTGCATTTAATGCAGGAACTTACCTGCTCTAGCTCACTGTGCTCCAGCCACCTGGCTTTTGTGTTCCTTGAATTCTCACCTCAGGAATTTGTATTCTCTGCTCTCTTTGCCATCAGTGCTTTTTTCCCTCAAGATCCTCATGATAATAAACATTATCCAGGTTTCCTTTGAAATGTGAAATGTGAACCCTTCTTGACCATTCTCCCTGAAGTATCTCCATCTCCTACCTCTCCCTTTTTCTCCCTTTACCATGCTTGGTTTTCTTCACAGCACTTAAAACTGAAAGCATTTGTTTATTGGTTGACGTGTTCTTGTCTTTCTCCCCATACTTGAATGCAAGGTACATGAGGCAAAGGTTTTCTCTTTTTGTCCATTTCTGTATCAAGAACAGTGTCTAGCACATGGTAGACTCTCAAAAAACTAGTTGGTGAATGAGTGAAAAAGAGTAAATGAGAGAATATCACTAGAGGGATTTCTGTTTGTGGGGATTTGTGGAAATGTATGAGAATAAGGACATCAGTGAAACCCTGTTATTAGAAACAAGTCTATGATTAGGAAATTCAGAGCCATTGTGTTATTCTAAATTTAGTAATGAATGATGTTATGTTGGAATTTGGTCATAGGAAGTTTGGGGGGATGTACGTGTGTACATGTGTACTTCCAAAATTATCATCTTTTATTCTTGTATTTTTTTCTTTTGGACTCAAAATGAAATTGAAATTAAAATGTTGGTGTTGAAGAACAAGAAGTGTTGTGTGGTTAGTGATATGACTATCTGATGTTGTTCCAGACTGGAAAGCCATTATGATTCAAGCCCAGTCAATGATGAATACTCCATGGAAATTAAAGGAGTGCCAGCCAGAAACGTGTTAAGAAGCTATGTTGTTAGCTAGAACAACTTTGGTTGCAAAACCATTCGTTTTTGCATACCTAACCCAGCAGAATGATAGACAAGAATATAACAGAACTGGTTAGGAAAGCCACTTGTTGAGGTGGGACCTGGTGTGGTTAAATGTGTAGGGAAAAATACCTGGTGGTTTTGCTTACATGGAAAGGTTAGGATCTTTGGATGCAGTGAATCTTCCTTTGGAGTTCAAGACCCATTTCAGAAACTTGTAGGAATTTGCATTGAAAAATTATGGATGTTTTATAGGTTAGAATCAAGATAAATGTGAAAACAGGGCTGGCAGAAAGTGGGCTAGGGAATCTATGTTACCTGTCTACAGTTTTCTCTTCTTTGCTTGTTATTATTTTTAACTTTATTTTCCCTTCCAAACAATACTTGTGAGGACTTCCTTTCTATGTGTGTTTTCAGAATCACCTTAAAGCTTAAGACTTGGTTATTAAAGATGATGAAATTTTTATTTCTTTTTCAACTGAATGCTAATGAAAGTAAGTTTAGATTCCTAAACTATGAGCAAGAATGAGCTTGCATATAAGACTGGCTTCTGTTTCCATTATTTTCAGAGACCACTATTACCAGTTAAGAAAGTAGGGTAACTTGCTTCTCTTTTGATAGCTACAATGTTTTACAACAGGTAATGCCAAATGTATCTGTGGAAGGCTTCTCTTAAAAACTTTTTTCCAGTCATCTCAAAAGAAAGGGTCAGATGTTTCTAAAAGGCATGTGTACTGAGCTCCTCTTTGAAGGACGTGTTCAAATTTTCTTCTCTATGCTTTCGAAGGGAAAAGAGATTGAACCTCATAAGATTCATAACATCAAAGCAGTTCTTAGTGTGTAAAAGTGTGTCTTCCTCAGAAAAGCAATTGTTCCTTGTATGTGGCGGGGGGATTGAGATCTATTCTAGCCTGTTTGATTTTATATTTCTGTTGTTGAGTCTTCTAGAGGTTTAAACCCAGATATGTAATATCTTGTGCTTGACATTTATTTTCATAGGTCATTTCAAATATGATTTTCCTAAGAATTAGAACTGGTCCATTGTGTCATGTTTTAATTTTTTTCTTTTGCTCTAAGTATTTGAACATATGTGATAATTTGATATTTCCTTTTAAAAGAACTGACAGACTTTGGATAACAAAAAAAAGTAATTTATTTTTGGACGTAAGGTAGTTCAATTTTACTGTCTATGCTATGCAACAGTTACCACACAAATACTTCTAGAGTGTAGTATCAGTTTTGTTACTAACTATGCTCATACATGAAGCAGAAATATGTATACATATATAGCTTTTATTATATTTAATTAATAATAACAAGCTGCTTTTAAATCTTTGGTTAAAGAAAGTATTTTTGTACAGAATAAACATAACTGCTTACAACCATACTTTATAAACATTTTTCCATTTCAGAAGTACTTTTCTTTTTTTTTTTTGACAGAGCCACATGCAGGTTTTAGAATAGCTTTCAACATGTTTGACACTGATGGCAATGAGATGGTGGATAAAAAGGAGTTTTTGGTGGTATGTACATTATATTCTGGATTTTATCAATAGTTAAATATTATTTATTTATATTCCTATGTTTTTGCATTATTTGAAATAATGTAGAAGGAAGAATGAAAAATTTATGCTTTCACCTTAATTTAATAAAGAAGTATATTCTGTGTACTTTAAATAATTTTCATATTATAAAAAATATAAATTATATCCATTATATAAAGGTGATTATAGTTGTGACATGTTTTCTGAACTTTGAAATGAGTCTGCTATTTCCCAGTGGGTGGATAACGGGCAGTCTGGAGGTGTTGTCTGCACTCAGTTCTTTCAGACCCCATCTTCTCAGCAGCCACAGCCCCAGCTCTTTGCTGCGGGAACTACCCTTGTTTCTCATGATGGGATCTGTGATTTTCCTTTCTGCTTTTCTCTTCCATTCATTATTGCCTTATATTTTCAGTCTGGTCCCCATTTTCCTATTCCCTTCTGCCTTTGAACAAGGGCTGGTGCAAAAAAGTGGGAGGAGTAAAATTGTCCTTAGGTCTTCAACTTCAGTCTTTCTCACCTGCCCGACACAGGACTGGTGCTAGTATGGCAACATCACAGCTCCTCACTTATCTTACCACCTCCCACTTCTAGAATTTTCTGTGTCTTTTCACCCACAGATTCTGTATCTACTACTGTGGCAAAGTTTCTGGGTTTTTTCCTTAAAGTAGAGATCCTTACAGTAACAAAGTGTACCCTTAGCTTTTATATTTAACTCTGTATGTACCTCTATTTCCTAGTAAAAAGAAAAGGGAAAGATGGCATATAAATAGCCGTTTTTATTTTCCATTTTCCTTTGTAACCAGCCATTAAAAATCCCTCAGAAAAACTCCTGAACAGCCTAGTATTCTCCTCAGAGGCTGGAACATGGAAGAGAAACTATGAAATCATTCTTTTCTGTGTTAGGAAAGAGAAGAGATAAAAATCCTTGTCGAAAGCTAATTAGTAGCCCTTCAAAAGGAAGCAAGCCTCTACTTGCTGGGATCTGCCAGATGGCTTCCTCTGACACCCATGCAGCCCTTGCCTCCCTCTGACACCCACGCAGCCCTCGGCAGGGCAGTGCCTGAGCCAGGCCATCGGGCAGGAACGGGAACCACGAAGGACCCCTCATTCCGATGTTTCCCAGGATGGGGGGTGGGGGCCGGTAAGAGTTTTCAGGTTCAGTGCAAAGGTAGAGGTATGTTCCTAACATTCAAAAGTGAACATAATCGTTTAATACGTTTTTGTTATGATGGCATAAAACTGTATTTTAGGACTTTCAGAATGGGACTAGTACTCTAATTTTATTAAACTTTCTGTAGCAACTTCCAAGTTCTAACTCATCGACTAAAAGTGTAACTTTTGGAACTCAGTCCATTGAAAGTTGTCTGTGTAGACATCCTTTGGAATGTTGTCTGTGGAGGGGAGGTAAAAACGTTCAGCAGGACTGCTGCCTCCCCCCTTGACTCTTGTAAAAGCCGGGTGTGCTTTGTGCCTTTGCGGTGGCTGTGTTGCTGCCTCAGATGGGATGGCTTTTGTTTGTTGTTTTAGTTTGTAAACAGCAAAGAATTCCTGAAAGCAGGAGGTAGAGTTGAGCTAACTTACTTGTCGGAGTCTAAAATCTAGGATTGTCCTGCCTATTTATAAAATGACTATTAATAACCTTTGCTAAAAAACTCTTTTCACAAAGAAAAAGTGTGGACATAAATGCACTTGTTAAAATCATTTATATTATGTACTGTATTTGTATTATTACGTGTGTTGGGAGGTAATACATTTCATTTGGTTTTCAACTATTGCCTTACAAGATGAAGAGTTAAGATACCTGTTTAAGTTATACAGACAAGAATACTGACCTCACCAGAAAGCTGTGATAGAGGTAGGCCTAGGCTCCCATTTGTAAAATAGGATTTTAAAGAGGAAATAATACCATCAGTAATAATAAACAACATCTCTTGAGAAGTTACTTTGTGATAGACAGCATGCCGAGTAACTATCTGTAATACTTAACTCTGCATAACATACTTACAAGACCTGGCGATTATACCTCAATAAAGCTGGAGAAAAAAATATTCCATAAGGTAAGGAATTATCTCCTTGTTCCAGATATGGAAAACATTCCTTGAATCATTAGAGTAACTTACTCAAGGGGTTATAGGCAGAGCCCTTGTGCCCACCAATGTTCAGTTAGTTGAAAGGGACTTTAGAGGCCATCCTCATTTCACATGTGAGCAAATTGGAGCCTCATGAGGGATGAGTGACCTGTTCACCATCATCAAGTTAGCATGTGACAGAAGGTGGGCTGCCACCCAGAATCCTGAATTCTATTCCAGTTTTGTCTATATCCCAGTAGGCTTTTTTTATTTGTGGGTCACAGACTCCCTGTCTTTATGTCTTAGAGATAAAATAAAGCTATAATTTTGTACATTTAACTTAACCACAGCTTGCCAGTAGCAGAGGATGTGCTTTCTTTTACTCAGGAAAAAAAAATGGTATCAAAAGATACATCTGTAGTGGTATGAGTGTTCTCGGTAGATATTTTTAGAATATACCTAGCACAGGGTGGTAAGTAGGGACCCAGAAACGCACTGCATATTTGATTCTTGATCACTTTTTTTGTCAGCTTCAAGAGATATTCAGGAAAAAAAATGAAAAGAGAGAAACCAAAGGAGATGAAGAGAAGCGTGCAGCGCTGGTAAGAATAATTCTTAAGTATTAATTCTTAAGAATAATTAATTCTTAAGAATTAAGAATAATTCTTAGTAGGGTCAGGTGGCTCTTCTAGCTGAGAGTCCTTTTATCTGTGCTGAGAAAGAATAACTGCAGTCTGTAACTTTGCAGGAAAGTTCTAAAGTCCCTCTCAGGAAAATGTTCTAAAGTTCTTATGTAGAAAGACTGCTTCAGATTTCTATGCATCTATATCAATATTATATCAAATATTGATATCAAACATCTGTGTCCATAATCACACTCATCTTATCATTTTCATCCATATTGTTGTTTTCCACGAGATTTGAAGGGTATACCATATAATAGATGAATACAGATCATTATGCATGAACAAATTTAAAGGTGAATTGCAAAGATTTAATTCTACATGTGACTGACTTTAGTGGCACTATAACAATATGAATGTTGAAGCAAAACCAAGGAAACAATACATTTTGTTTAAAATTCTTAGAAATAAGAGATTCTTCTGGGATGAGTAATGTTTTCAGCCTACCCTGAAGGTAGAGTTAAGTAGCCTTTCCCTCCATTTTCCTACCAGTTTTCTTTTTTGTTTGTCCCAAGTATTTCCGCCTGACAGTATCCTGGGTTCACATAATACAAATAACAGGTACTGAGACCTTACTTTCAGGGACGGTACTGGATGCTCTGCATGCACCTTCTCAGTCAGTCTACCAATTAAATTAGTTCTCTTTCTATCTGTAATTCTGGCAAAGCCAAGATTTGAGTCCATGGCTGGGCAGCTCCCAAACTGTACTTGAACCATTATAGCTTATTTCTTTGTTCCTTACATAGTAGAAACACAATTTTGTTGAGATGTAAATGATGATTGTTTCATTTTAAGTTAGTGGGTCTGTACAGGAGTTTAGTTGGTCTACCTGGAATTCAAAACTTCAGAGAGCTGCAGCATTTTTTATTATTCTCCTTATTATAAGGGTATGTATCACTTTTTTTTTTTAAACATGTATTGTCTGCAGCAGATGGTGCCATATTTAATTCCAATGGATTAAGTGTGTATTTATATTTACATTAATAAAAGCAGATTATCAGGATTATGAGCTACATATTATTTCATAGGATATTTGACTATAATTATCAATTTTTGTTGAGTCACTTTCAATATTCTAGTTGACAAAGTTTATGGAGGATACTCTTAGAAAATCAAAGAGCTGGTTATAATGTTAGTCAGGTATTAAAAGAGGCATTATGAGTTCTATAATTCAGGTTTCATGGTTTTCAAATTATAGTTAATAAATCCCATATGAATAGCTCCATAATGCCATTTTTTTAGAGTATTAGCAAATAACATGAGAGAATTAAATAGCTTTGTAAATTTTCTTTTCTGTAGATAATATTTCGAAGGTGTAAGCAGTTGCTTTAATTTTGGTAGATTAACTATATTTAACTGGATATGCAAATTGTTAATAAAATATCACTGAGAAGGTTGAATTATGTTGATTAGTCTTTTGCTATACCTCAGGAACAGAAAAGATAGTATTTCAGAGGACAGAAATTTAACTGGTTTTTTGGGAGTATATTGAAACACAATGTTTACATTAGTTTCAAAAAATTAAGTTTTGTTTATTTATTTATACTGCTTTCAGAAAGGGCTTGTGAATCTTCCAGGGAAAACACAGTGTTGTTCTAATCATTAACATTTATTAAAATACTTAAGTAAAGGGAAAGAGGTAAGGGAGAAATGATAGCAGACAAACCACATAGGGAAAAGCTACATTGTCAGCACAAAGCTTGGCTCTGAACCTTATTGCAGCCCAGGAAAAGTAAATTTAATGCTGATTTAATGCAAATAGTTCATAATAGTGATACAGTAAAACCTTATTAACTTGGATGAATTAGGGAAAGTCTATCTGAATTATGAAATGTAAGTTATGTCAGGATACCCTAAATTGTATAATTTTATATGCATGTAGGTCAGTGAAGCTTTCTCCAGCAAATATATGGAGAATTGTTTCAAAGAACAGATAAAAATGACTTAAGAGTAATATACTGTATAGCGCGTTTATTTGTAAAGAAACACTAAAGCCATTGATCTCCACAGTACTTCATAGGTGTTTATCTTACAAAGTTTAATTAGTGCTCTTGAAATTTATTTATATAATTTAGCTATCAGTACTGTTCCTTAAAACAATTCAGACATAATCTTTAGGCAACCTCTGAACTAAATAGCACTCTAAGACAGTACAGTTCTGTAATTTATTGTTAATAGTTGCCATATTTTACATAATGCAGATCTGAACTGGTAAGATTTTTGAATTTTTAAGCAATGGAAATTTAGCTTATAGTGAAAATATATTGATTACGTTAGAAAGAAAGTATAACACAGGCTCAGGAGCCAGATTTTCACAGTTGGAGTATCAGCTCTGCCATTCACTATCTGGCTGACCTTGAACAGGTCCTTAACCTCTGTGTGCCTTAGTGTCTTCATTTGTACGATGGAGATAATAGGAGTAATGGCCACATGTGGTTGTCATGGGGATTAAATGAACTAAAACATGTAGCCACTTGACAGCCTATGAAATATATTAAATCCTCATGAAATAAGACTATGCTATGGAAGTGAGGAGGGAAACAACATTTCTTGAGACACCGTGATATCGCCATTATCAGTGTGACTCCCATTCAGTCCTCATTACATTTCTGCAGGTAAGTGTCATGCTGTTTCACAGAAGAGGGCGCCATCGTAGAGAGCTTCAGTGACTTGTCTCAGGGCACGGCACCAACAAGAGCAGAACCAGATCCCACTGCAGGTGTCTCATACCATTTCCACTGCCATGCTGCTACATCCAGAGTTTTCCCCTAATCCGTATGGGATTGCTGACGCATGTCTAAATAAAACCATGTACTTCAGAGGAGTGTTGTACTCAAAGCAGTAGTTCTCTCAGAAAGTTAAAGTGAAAATGGTTGAAATTTAAAAAACTTTGCTACTCATCTTTAACATTTATCCCACTTGTATTGTGTGTGTGCTCTATATAGAATGTAGCATAATGATTTGCCCTTCCTAATTGATTATTTTGTCGTCTTTTTCTTTTTTTCTTTTGCTATTCTTGGGTTCATTCTGAAATGTGACACTTCATTTGGCCCTTTGTGCTCTATGTCAGCGTCTTCAACTTTATGGATACCATTCTCCTACTAATAGTGTATGTACAATACTTTAAATGTTCTTTATGTAAATAGCCCTCACCTGTTGTACTTGATAATGTTATTTCTTTATATACAGCTATATCTACAATTGAAAATGTTTAGGAGTTTATTGAATATAATAAGGTGCGGCCAAGCCAACTTCTTTATTTCCTTCCTAGATTTATAAAAAGACTTAAATTTACAAAGCAGTTACATGTCTTTAACTTTAGATTAAAATAAGGGAAAGATGAGTGGACAAGTACCAAAAGCCCTGGTAGAATACTCAAAATGTTATATTTTTCAGCAGTATTTGAAGAGTTAAATACAAATTATGGAGCAGATTCTCAGGCTATGCTCCTGCAGAACACAGGTATTTTAAGAACTAGATCTCTCCATCTGATACAGTCTTTCCTCAGTTCTGATACAGAGGACTATTAATAGATAGACTTTTCTTGGTCAGCAGTGTTTCTGTAAAATTTTTCTAAAATCTTGAATGCCTGCCTACTGCCTGTGGTCTATACAGAAGTCTGGTATGATACTTGACATGTTTAATATATCATGCTATTTTTCAAAGAGGATTATCATTTTCAGACTCTTCTTTTCTTGAAAAAGTCGAGAGTTCCTGCGAACAATCTTCCAGATATGCTTATGCTCAGCTTTCTTCTTCTTTCCTTCTTCCTGGAAAGGCAGAGCTGGTTGGCTGGCCCAGCTACTAACAACGGAGCAGATAGACCATGGCCCCTTTTGAATGTAAACATGCTCAGTTCACTTAGTTTTCCCAAGGATCCTTAAGTCATTTAGAAGGATCCTTTAAATTATACAAACTTCCCCTGAGAGAAGCCCTTGAATTCAGGATTACCGACTCAGTCTCCTGCTAAAGTGTTAAGAGTTAACAGTGTACGGAGCAGGCGTGCGGTCTCCTGTGTTGGAGAGTTAACCAGAATTCCAAACTATAAAAGTTACCTCGGTTCTAGATTTGAATGTACACTGGAGAATGATTCAGCATAAAATAAACCCAAGCTGTGCTGCTTCAGTCGCAAGGAATTGACCTAGAATGGATTAAAGAACAAGCCAAGTCCATGGGACCCTTCTGACTACTTGTTTCGATATGTTACAAGTGCTTTAAATTTTTACTACACAATTCACTACTTTTTTCATTAAATACAGTCTGCCATTTTCTTGAAAATTTTTATGTTCCTATGTTAATCATTTTAAAACTTTGTAAGAATGTATAAAATGAAAATCTCAAATTATCTTTTTAACGTTTATTTATTTTGAAGAAGCGCATGAGAGTGCGTGGAGGGGGCAGAGAGGGAGAGAGAGAGAATCAGTCCCAAGCAGGGTGCACACTGTCAGTACAGAGCCCGATGTGGGGCTAGAACTCATGAACCATGGGACCCAAGAGCTGGACACTTAAACCACTGAGCCACTCAGGTGCCCCAATTTTTTTTAAGTTTATTTACTTAAAGAGAACGAGTGAGAGAGCAGAGGAGGTGCAGAGAGAGAGGTAAAAAGAGAGGAAAATCTCACAGATTATAGTGCCATATGCACTGTGAAACTTAGTAAATGTTAATAATGCTTGCAACTTTATTACTTATTTTTCTACTCTCATGTGTCATTGCATGAGCCATTTTTCCAACTGTGGCATTTTATATTTTTCCTTCAAACTCACATGATTTTCATATAGATGATTATGCGGTTTTTGAGAATACAGTTGTTAAAAGGAAGCAGATACTAACATAGCTCTAGTTTAAACTACACATACAAATTGCAGTCACTCAGACATTAGTCAAGTAATACTGAGTAATAGACTTAAGTTGCCTATTTCATTTTTATTATGCTTACTTATTTAATAGGACAGTAAATATGATTTTCCATTTTATTGTAATATTTTTAAAATGTTTATAATTTATTTTAACTGAAGATATTTTTTCCATCTAAAAATATAAAATACACATTTTAAAGTGGTATAACTTGATGTCATTTTTATCCGGTCTTATTAAATGAATTACATGACTTTTCAACTCCCTTAGAGTTTAGTTGGTTATATAAACTGACTTCTTTTCCCTCTAATAGAACAATTTTTACTCAGAAAGGTATGATTATTTTCAAAACAATGCAAGCAGACAAGGAAAATGTGTTTACAATTAGAAAAAAAGTTCAGTTGAAAATTTTATGAACTATCATTGGTGCATGTAGTGCACAAATGTATTAGTACAATGTTATGAATTTGCTGGTAGTTTTGTGCTAGTTGCCAACCTGGCACATCAGCTGGAGTGCTAATGTGTACAAAGATAGTACAGTTCATGGGGCCGAGCACCACATAAGATCCTACCTCAGGAGGAAGTTCCTTCAGGAAAGGTGCGGGACCCTCCTGACTTGACTAAGAGAGATTCCATGGCCTATGTAACAGCCGCCTAGAAAATTCTATCACCCTTACAGTAGATTCTGCCTGTGTACTGTCACATTATTTCTTGATTCAGTGGAAGGTTGAGCATACTCCTTTGTATGCAAGAAGATGCTTACCTTATAGCTTTTTCTGTGGAAACCACTGTGATTCTTTCCATGTTTCTCATATATTCAGCTCTTGATTATCTTTATTCAAAAGAATAAATAGTGCAAAGTCAAGTATATTTTACTTTGAAATACCCTACATGATTTTTAAAAAGTTTTTTAAAGATTGTTTTAATACGTGCTTTAAACCTCTGTCATTATTAATGTTTTGGTCAGCTTGATCTGTCAATTAGTATTTTAAATTACACATTACGATGATAGATTTAATTTTTACTTGTAATTCCATTATTTTTAAACTTTACATATGTTGAAGCATTGTTACTGCTTCAAATGTAGGGCTTAAATTCACAAGCTGTGAGATCATGACCTGCGCCAAAGTCAAGACGCTTAACTGACTGAGCCACCCAAGTGCCCCATATTTTGTTTTATTTTCAGTTTTTTCCTCTAGTAATGATGAAACTTTCCCTTAGTTTTAAAATATATTTTTTAGTTCAGGGATGCCTCAGTCAGTTAAGCATCCAGCTCTTGATTTCGGCTCAGGTCATGATGTCATGGTTCGTGGGTTCAAGCCCCGCAGGGGGCTCTGTGCTGACAGCACAGAATCTGCATTTGATTCTGTCTCCCTCTCTCTCTGCTCCTCCCCCACTTGCTCACTATCTCTCCCTCAAAATAAATAAATATAAAAAATAGTTTAAAAAAATAAAATATTTTTTAGTTCAGAAATTTACTGCAAATAAAATTAAATATAAAGTAAATAATAATAAAAGTGTAGCCCTCATACAGATCAGTAAACAAAACCTATCCAAGCCCCCAAACACCCCTTCATAGGTCTTTCCAGTCACAGTCCCTCCCCTTCCTCCATAAGATAACCACAGTCGTGACATTTATCGTTCATGTCGTTTATGTAAATCACTGCTCTGCTTTGTGGGTTTACCACCTACTTACTGCATCCTCAGCAATACAGTTACGTGAGACATCTCTGTGCCTCATACAAATGGCATCATATTATAGGAGTTCTTCTGCTTTTGCTCTTTGACGTGACATCATGATTGTCTGTGTCATCTGCACTGCTGCATCCGGGCCTGGTTCACTCACGGTTGTCGCTGTAAGCAGCACGTCTCATACATTTTTGTTCTCAGGACCCCTTTACATTGTTGAACATTATAGAGGACCCGAAAGAGGTTTGTTTATGTTGGTTATATCCGTACTTACCACATTAGAAATTAAAACTGAGAAATTTAAAAGTATTTTTTAATCCATTTAAAAATAAGAAACTCACAAGTTAATGTAAACATTTTTTTTAAATACTTAAAAACTGTAGTGAAGAGAGTGGTATTTCGCATTCTTTGCAAACCTCTGTAGTGTCTGGTTTAATAGAAGACAGCTAGTTTCTCAGAGATGCTTCTGCGTTCACTCTGCTGCAGTTATATTATTTTGGCAACAAATGCTATCAACTCTTTCCCTTGAAGTGACAGGTGCACTTGGTTCAAATAAAATGTCTGCCAGATACCAAAGTTTGAATAACTATAGTTTCTCTACACACTGTTCTTCCGAGCAAAAATGACGGTTCCTTAAAAAGTGACTAGTTCACCTTGCAGCACAAACCCTTGCACAAATGCCGCTGTGCTTGAGAACATAGAAGTGTTCTCTGCATGCTCCTAGTTTCATCCCACTGAATATTAAAGAGATGTGTCCTCACAGATTATTTTAAAAAGTTGTATTTTATGACTGTGAATATGCAAGCACAGCAAACACACAGCTAATACATTCTTCCGAGATCAGGCGCATTTAGGGTGCTATGGCCATAGAGAGTAACACTCAGCTAATACATTCTTAAGTGAATTTTAGTGTGAGTATATGGAACTGAAGAATATAATGATTTTGGCCTTTAATGCCTCTGCTGTCCTTGTACTAAGACACCAGCAGGTCTACCCACCATTGCTTTGGCGCTATCAGTCAACAGAGCACCAGAGACAAACCATGTCTCTATGATGCTTGTAAGATGATATATCTACTTTGTGTTTTGCCCAGCTTTTTCAGTTCTTCTCAATGAGAAGGTTACTGCTCTTTACTAGTCGGTCATTAATGGGAGCCTGGTATATCTTTTTCAGTCTCTCTCCTTACATTTTGATATGTCTTTTTTTAAGTTTATTTGTTTATTTTTGAGAGAGAGAGAGCATCCCAAGCAGGCTCTGCACTGAGCATGGAGCCCAATGCAGGGCTCAAACTCAGAAACCGTAAGATCATGATATGAGCCAAAACCAAGAGTCGGATGCTTAGCTGAGCCACCCGGTCGCCCCTATTACGTCTTTTTAAAAAGTATATATTTTGTGTATTTTATTGGTTCTTTTTCATGTGAGTTGATAATTTGTGTTTTTGAAAATTTCAGTTTACATTACTGCAATTATTAATTTATTTGGATTTATTTTAGCCCTTCTATACACTTTTCTCCTTTCTTACCTTTTTTTATTTTTTTATTTTTATTTTTTTTTAATATTTTTAT